GGGGGGGGTAAGGTCGCAGCGAAAAAGGACGGTACGTCTTCGACGAGGTCTAGCTGTGCCGCCCCCGCTACGCCCTCCCGTTCCGTCGTCATGAAGAGCCTTATGCAGAGCGGCAGGGACTGCCGCCGCCGCCCTGACCACTTTGGTGTTCCCAAATACACTCGCAAAATTGGAAAGAAACCAGAAACCTTGTTGTGTGGCAAAACCGCTATTATTGGTTGTTCTTTTTGATCGTGTTCGCTTGCAGGGTGGCCTGCGTCATGCGAGAGGGGGTGGCGCAGCGTGGCGGGTGCGGCTCGTCGGCCGTGTGGGGCGCACCGGCAGCGTGTTCCATTCCCGCGGGGCCGGCGATTGCGGAGCGGCGGGGCGGGGCGGGGCGGGCTGCGGTGTGCCAGCCCCAGCTACGCGACGAGCGCGCGAAAGACAATCCCCTCACGCCCCTTCTCTCCTTTTGCCGTGTTTTCCTTGCCCTCAGCCACCTGCTTTCTCTTCCCTCGTCCCTCTCTTGTGTTGTCGCCTCGCCTGCCTCTCCCCCTCGCCCCCCTCGGGCCAATGAGAGCGGGCTGCTCGGGCGTGTTCCCCCTGGGGGCGGCCGCCCCTCCTCGCCCCCTCCCCGCCGGTTTCTGGGTCACCTGGCCCATTCGGCGCGGTGTCTCATCACCCTAAAACCGCAGCCCGGCCCCGAGGATGCACCGAGGCAAGCTCCCTGTTGTGTCCCTCCCGACAGTGAGGCCCGCCCCCAGCCTGCGAATAGACGGCCGTTATTAACAGTCGTGCTGACGACCGTCTCGTCTGCCGCTCCAATATTTCGGGGGGACTCATTCTGCTGATTGTCCTTTTTTCCCCCCTTCCCTTTTTTTCCGTCCTACTTCGCCCCGTACTTCGGTATGGTGCATGTTTTGCGGCCGCTCTTGCAGCTGTCTCCTATTCTCATCCCGCTGCTCGCTCTCCCCGGCCGCTGCTGCTGTCGGTCAGCTCTGCTCAGCGCCTGGGAGGTAGGCAATCCAGAGACGCTCGTGTCTTGCGCCCCGGATGGTTGCCTATCGGCGACTTCGCAGGCGCCGTGTGGCGGTGCTGAGGC